CTGGTTTCTAGGTTCATTGTGTTATGGTCAGAGAAAATACTTAGTGTGATTTCAGTTTTTTTGAAATTTTTTAAGACTTGTTTTATGGCCCTAACATATGGTGTATCCTTGAGAATAATCCACGAGCTGAGGAGAAGAACGTGTATTCTGCAGCTGTTGGATGAAACATACTGTAAATATCTATTAGGTCCATTTGGTCTATAGTGCAGATTAAGTAAGTCCAGTGTTTCTTTTTCTGTATGGATGATCTGTCCAATGCTGAAAGTAGAGTGTTCAGGTCTCCAACAATTATTGGGATCTATCTCTCATTAGCACTGATAATATTTGCTTTATATAAATGTGTGCTCCAGTGTTGGGTGCATATATATTTAGAACTGTTGCATCCTCTTGCTGAACTGACCCCTTTATCAGTATATAATGAACTTCTCTTTTTACAGTTTTTGTCTTGAAATCTATTTTGTATGAGGGAAGTATAGCTACTCCTGCTCTTTTTTAGTTTTCATTTGCATGGAATATCTTTTTCCATCCCTTTAGTTTCAGTCTGTGTGTTTACAGGTGAAATGGATTTCTTTCAGAGACCATACAGTTGGCTCTTTTTTTTTAATCATTCACCCACTCTCTGTCTTTTGATTGGAGAATTTAGTCCATTCACATTCAATGTTATTATCAATAGGTAAGGACTTCTGCCGTGTGTTAGGTCTGGAACAGAGAGAGAGGGACACATGAAGCCTCATGTGTAGCAAAATGCTATTTATTTTGGGCAGCTGGGTGCAGATAGATGGGTGGAGGGGAAAAAAGCATTCACACTGAGGGAGGGGAAAACCTTGGGTTTTATAGGGGGTTTCTTAGTGGGGAGTGAGTACCTGGGCCAGAACAGCTGCTGCAATAAAAAATTTTTTTTAAACAACCAATTTCTGGGACCCCTGGGTCAGTCTCATCCTGTAGAGATAAGGGAGGAGGGTAGTTCCGTCCTTATCAGGGGGGATAGGAATGCTGGCTCCAGCAGTTTGTTAGGTTTACAACCTCCGGGGCCTTTCCAGACTCCTGCAGCTATTGATTCACAAACCTTGGTTTTCTGTTAATTGCATTCTGTCCCACACATACTTTTCGAGTTCCCACCTGGAACAAACCTAACACCATGTTTGTTGTTTGATTTCTTGTCCTCTCTTTCTTCCTTCCTTCTTGTCTTCCTTTATTAAATTTGATTTTCTCTGGTAGTGCTTTTTTTGTGTGTGTATCTGCTGTAGGTTTTTTGATTTGGGGTGACCATGAGGATTGCAGAAACCATTTTTATAACCGATTGTGTTAAACGTATGACAGCTCTGCTTACAAACAAAGAAATTATCAAGCAAAGAGAAATATAATAGAAATTCTACACTTTAACTCCATTTCCCCAACTTTTTAACTTTTTGTTGTTTCCATCTATATCTTTTTATACTGTCTACCTCTCAAAAAGTTCATTATTTTTGATAAGTTTGTCTTTTAGTCTTCCTACTCTAGATAAAAGTGATTTATGTACCACAGTTACAGCAATAGAGTATTCTGTATTTGCGTACTTACTGTTACCAGTGAGTTGTATACCTTCAGGTGATTTCTCGTTATTCATTAATGCCCTTTTCTTTCAGATTAAGGACATCCTTTTAGCATCTCTCCCTGGAGAGGTCTGGTGTGGATGAAATTCCTCAGCTTTTGTTTGTCTTGGAAAGTCTTTGTTTCTCCTTCATGAGAGAAGGATATTTTTGCAGGATATAATATTCTAAGGTTAAGGTTTTTTTCCTTTGGCACTTTGTCATTCCACTGTCATGTGGCTGTAAGGTTTCCACTGAGAAGTCTGCTGCCTGATGTATTGGAGCTCCTTTATATGTTTTCTTTCTTTTTTCTTGCTTCACTTAGGACCTTTTCTTTATATGTGACTTTTGGGAGCTTGATTATTAAGTACCTTGAGGTAGTCTTATTTGGGTTAAATATGCTTGGTGGTCAGTGACCTTCCTATACCTAAATATTGACATCTTTCTCTAGGTTTGGAAAGGTCTCTGTTATTATTTCTGTGAATAAACTTTCCACCCCAGTCTCTCTCTCTACCTCCTCTTTATGGCCAGTAACTTTTAGATTTGCCCTTTTGAGGCTATTTTCTAGATCTTGTAGGTGTGCTTCATTCTTTTTTATTCTTTTTTTTTTCTGACTATATTTTCACATAGCCTGTCTTCAGCCCCAGAAATTCTTCTGCCAGGTCAATTCTGCTGTTGAAAAACTCTGATGCATTTCTCAGTTTGTCAGTTGAATTCTTCAGCTCCAGAATTCCTGCATGATGATGATGGTGGTTATTATTATTATTATTATTTTAATTTCAGTCTCTCTGTTAAATTTCTCTGACAGCCTTCTGAATTCCTTCTCCATGTTGTCTTGAAATTCACTGAGTTTCTTTGGGACAACTATTCTGAATTCTTTGTCTGAAAGGTCATGTCTGCATTACTCCAGGATTGGTCACTGGTACCTTATTTAGTTTGTTTGGTGAGGTCATGTTTTCCTGGATATTCTTGATGTTGCGGATGTTCGTTGATGTGTGGACATTGAAGAGTTAGGTATTTATTTTAATCTTCTCAGTCTGGATTTGTTTGAAACCATCCTTGAGAAGGCTTTCCAGATATTCTAAGGGAATTGAATGTGAGATCTAAGTCTTTGGTCACTGCAGCCATATTAGCACTGGGGGGTGTCCCAAGCCCGCTAATACTGTGACTCTGGCAGACTCCTTGTGGTACCATCTTGGTGGACTTGGGTAATATGTGGGAGAATTCCCTCTCTTACTTTCTTCCCTCATTCTCCATGCTGGGCTGCTGGAACTGGGGGAGGAGTGACATGGGCACTTCCTTTTGGCCACCAGCACCAGGTCTCACCTGTAGCCAACTCAGTCTCACCCAAAGCCTGTGGTGACTGTTTCTGGCTACCTCTGATGTTTATTCAAAGCCCAAAGGCTCTTTAGTCAACAAGTGGTAAATACTGCCAGAACTGGGTTCTTCCCTTCAGGATAGCATGTTTCTTTCTGGCCCAGGGTGTGTCCCAAAATGCCATCCAGGAACTAAGGCCTGGCTTTAGGAGTCTGCTTGATTCTTTATTTTACTATGGCTGAGCTGGTAACGAAGTTGCAAAACCAAGTCCTCTGAATTCTTCCCTTTCCTTTCCCCACATGGAAGAAGACTCCCTGAGTCATGCTGCCTATAGTTGAGGGAGGGGTGATAGAGGCACTGGCTTGGCCACCACTGCTGGTGTCTCACTGGATCAAGTGTACCCCAGGTCCATTGACTCTGAGCCAGCACAGCAACAGGAATTGCCCAAGGACTGTAGCCTTTGTGACCCAACTGCCTTATGAATTTAGTCTAGGCTCCAAGCTGCCTTTTGTCAGCCAGTGGTGGGGTTAGCCAGAACTCAGGTTTTGGGGCCAAGGATTTCCTTCTGGCTGGGGCTGGTCCAAGTGCTCCCTCTGTCGGTATTGGTAGAATTCTGCCCTGTGCTGTGTTCCCCTGTGCCAGGGTGGCCCTGCGTTTCAATGCAAAGTCCCACAATCATTTCACTCTCCCTCCCAAAGCAGACAGATTCTCTTTCCATCTGGTGCACTGGCATGGCCCTGTAGGAGGATGGGGCAGGGATGGCATAGGCAATTCAAGATGGTCTTTTCTGCCCTCTTCAGTGCCTCATTCCTTGATATAATGTAAAAACCCAGGTAGTGTGGTTGCTCACCTGATTTTTGGTTCTTCTGAAGGTCCTTGTTTGCATGGATAGTTGTCAAAATTGGTGTTTGTGTGGAAGGACGATCACTGGAGGTTTTCTGTTGTATTGCTCTGCCCCTCTTTTGAGGAACCTCCATATACTGTTTTCCTTAGGGGCTAAGATCTGAGATCTTTTACTTTTTTTTTTTAAGAGACAAGATCTGGCTCTGGTTGCCCAGCCCGGAGTGCAGTGGCATGATCATAACTCAATGCAGACTTGAACTCCTGGCCTCAAGGAATCCTCTGGCCTCAGCCTCTGGTGTAAAGACTACAGGCCTGCACCACCATGATCAGCTGTTCTTTGTGTGTTTTGTAATGATGGGGTCTTGCTCTGTTGCTCAGACGTGTCTCAAATTCCTGACCTCAAGTGATCCTCCTGCCATGACTTTCAACAGCACGGGGATTACAGGTGTGAGCTGCTGCATGGGCTTCTTAGATTTTTTTGGACAGTGACATGGGTTGCAATTTCCTGAAATCTGCACCAAAGCATTTCTTTGTAGTGCTTGAGGTTTTTGTTTTGTTTTGTTTTGTTTTTGTAGTGGAGACAAACGAGTTATTAATACTGTATTAAGACCTTTCCAGATGCATGCTTTGCCAATACTTTCTGTAGTTTTGTGGGCTACCTTTCCCCTCTATTGGTAACGTCCTCTGATAAACATTTTATATTTTAGTCAGTCATATTTGCTTTTTTAAGACTGGGCCCCCTCAAGTTTTAACAATTTAGGTTTTCCTACCCCAGTAGTGTTTGCCGCAAAAGTTTCTGCTCATGGCATTTTCTATCGGTAAATTAAGACTCTGTCATCCATTCGGTTGGTCGGATCCCATCTAAAATACCATCAAAGGTTATATTTTCTGAACAAGTGTATTCAAGGATTCACAGTCTCAAGATTGATAATGCTCATTTTGTTCTGCACGTTAATTAGCATCAACACTTCGTTATGATAGGTGCCACAGACCCAGTGTACAAAGAGACATTAATGGTGACCCAGGTAACACATCCTTCTCCCTCGATTCACCAACGAGACACGTTTTGCTATTCTGCTGTTGCTTTACTCAACAGTTCTATTCTACCATCAGAATTGCTGTGTGGGAGGAAGTGAGTATAGACAGAGAGTAAGAGTCTGATGACAAAATTGTGGAGTGAATGTTTGGAGATCCATGTGAAATTCTTAAGAATATAGTTTTCTGGTGTGGTGCATCTCACCCATCCTCCTCTACACATGTGTGACAATCCAGGACTCAGTGGCCTTTAAGGATGTGGCTGTGAACTTCACCCGGGAGGAGTGGGCTTTGCTGGATCCTTCTCAGAAGAAGCTCTACAGAGATGTGATGTGGGAAACCTTAAGGAACCTGGCTGCTATAGGTAAGGTTGACAATATTCCTTCACTTAGTGAATTACAGAACAAGTGTTTCTTGTTCATCAATGCTGTTTTGTGATTTGAAATATGGACAGGGCATACTTTGGTGTATACATCAGGCATGACTCCAGTGTACATTGAGCTTAGACTGTAATAATTTTTTCATAGTTTTGTAATTCAGGACTATTTTTCTGGGTTTGTATTTTAGGGAGAAAATGGAAAGACCAGAACATTGAAGATCAGTACAAAAATCCCAGGAGAAATCTAAGGTAACTTGTACTCTCAAGACAAAGGCTTTTCTCTCAAGACAATCTTACATTGTCAGGAAATGTTAAAAACATGCAAACAAAACAAATAACCCCAGCATCAAATGTATTTATTCTCAGAAAATTTTCTCTAAAAATGCATACTTAAATGTGACAAAGATGTTTGATGTCTGTGAAAGTTAATTTGATATCATATGAAGACCTCATGTGAATATCGCTTTTTTTAAAATTGGTATGGGAGGGCCATTTTCCAAAGCTTGTGGTCCATTCACATTCAAACAATTGAAACAGGGCTGAGGGCCTACACTTTCCTTAATCATGGTAAAAATTCAAGTGAAATACTTACTAATAAATATAAAATCATAAATCCTTAATAATGCTTCTCATTTTCTACAGAATTCTTATGGCAGAGAGACTCTTTGAAAGTCAACAAGGTAGTGAGTGTAAAGAAAACTTCAGCCATGTTCCAGATCACATGCTGAACAAGAAAAGTCCTGGAGTAAAACCTTGTGAAAGCAGTGTGTGTGGAGAAGTCTCCGTTGGTCATTCAACCCTTAACAGTCACATTAGAGCTGACACTGGACACAAACCATACGAGTTTAAGGAATATAGAAAAAAGGCATACACACGTAAGCAACGTGAGAAAGACTTCAGTTGTCGCTACTCTTTCCGAACACGTGAAGGGCCTCCCACTGGAGAGAAACCCTATGATTGTAAGGAATGTGGACAAACCTTTGTTCATCTCACAAGTTTTCAAAGACACATGGTGATGCACAGTGGGGATGTATGTTATAAATGTGAATTATGTGGAAAAGCATTTGCTTCTCTCAATCCGTATCTTGTACATGAAAGACTTCACACTGGAGAGAAAGCATATGAATGTAAACAGTTTGGTAAAGCTTTTGGTTGGTCTCGTTCCCTTCAAGTACATGAAAGGGCTCACACTGGAGAAAAGCCATATGAATATAAGGAATGTGGGAAAGCCTTCAGTTACACCACTTCCTTTCAAAGACATAAAAGGACTCACACTAAAGAGAAGCTGTATGAATGTAACCAATGTGGGAAAGCATTTTCTGATTGGCCAAGTGTTCAGAGGCACACTGGAGATGGACCTTATAAATGTAAGATATGTGGGGAAGCCTTCTGTTCTGCCATTTCATTTCAAAAACATAATAGGACTCATATTGGAGAGAAGCCCTATGAATGTAAGATATGTGGTAAAGCCTTTAGTTACACATACATTCGAGTACATGAAAGGATTCACACTGGAGAGAAAACATATGCATGTAAACACTGTGGTAAAGCTTTTCGTTGGTCTCGTTCCCTTCAAATACATGAAAGGGCTCACACTGGAGAAAAGCCATATGAATGTAAGGAATGTGGGAAAACCTTCAGTTACTCCACTTCCTTTCGAAGACATGAAAGGGCTCACACTAAAGAGAAGCTGTATGAATGTAACCAATGTGGGAAAGCGTTTTCTGATTGGCCAAGTGTTCAAAGGCACACTGGAGATGGACCTTATAAATGTAAGGTATGTGGGGAAGCCTTCTGTTCTCCCACTTTATTTCAAAAACATAATAGGACTCATATTGGAGAGAAGCCCTATGAATGTAAGATATGTGGTAAAGCCTTTAGTTCCACATACATTCGGATACATGAAAGGATTCACACTGGAGAGAAACCCTATGAATGTAAGATATGTGGTAAAACCTTTCGTTGTTCTTCTTCCTTTCGCGCTCATGAAAGGACTCACACTGGAGAGAAGCCCTATGAATGTAAGATATGTGGTAAAGCCTTCACCAGTTCCATGTACACTCGAATACATGAGAGAAATCACACTGGAGAAAAACCCTACAAATGTAAGGAATGTGGGGAAACCTTTAGTAGTTTCTCTTACTGTCGAAATCATGAAAGGACTCACACTGGAGAGAAACCCTATAAATGTGAGGAATGTGGGAAAGCCTTCAGTCGTTCCAGTGTCCGTTCAAGACATAAAAAAAGGCATACTATGAAGATATGAAAGAAATCCAATCAATGTAAGGGACTGGGACAGCATTTAATTGTCCCAGTTCCTTTCGAACACAGAAAAATAGAATGAAGAAAGACCCGTGATATAATTGCCTCTCCAGTTTAGAAGAGAGACCTGTGACAGGACAATAAAATCTAGAGCTTTGTTGGATGATTCCATGATACATTTCACCCAGTAGCTTTTGTTCCGTGAGATTTTGAAGACAGACGTGAGGATTAGTCACATTTTGGAGGCACCATACAGGGAGACAGGCAGATTCATAGGGCTGTGGGGACACTTTTTCCAGCCCCATTTTCCTATAATCCCTTGGTTTGCCCATCTCAAGAGTATCCTCAGAATCACTTTACCATTATTTTTTCAGAAGTGTAGGTTTCTTTAAAAGTCCCTGGTCGCTCCACATTATAGATATCTATCCCCAGTTTGACTTACCTTTGGGAATTATAATGTGTTTACCAGAGAGCTTATTCAGACTGTTATGAGCGGCAATAGTCTCTCCTGCTCACGTATCTTAGTCTATTGAATGGATTGGTATTGGGATAATTTGTATTACAAGAACGTTTGTACTGTTCTTGAGTCAGCATGACAACTACAGTGCCTCCAGCAATACCAGCCGGATGGGACCTTCTTCCTTTGCACTGCTCAATGACTAGTCTGACCCAGTACTTTAATGTGAGAATAAGCACCTTGCTCTTAACAGGAAATCTGGAGTGTATCCTGTTATTCACAGCTGAATATAATGCCTCAGTTCTTTTTCAATTTTGTTTTATTATATGAGATTAAAATCAATATCTAGTTTGGCCACATTTTTTTTACTTATTTTTTGAGAGACAGGGTCTCACTGTGTTGCCCAGTGTATACTTGAACTTCTGGGTTCAAGCAATCCTCCTGTCTCAGTCTCCCCAGTACGTGGTACTGCAGGTACACAACACCATGCCTGGCTGATTTTTTTCACATTTGTATAGATGCAGTTTCACTATATTGCCCAGGCTGTTGTCACACTCCTGGCCTCAAGAGATCCTCATGTCTCAGCCTCCTGAACCTTGGGGATTAGAGGCATCAGTCAGCTATACCTGTAATAATTGGCTTTATTAACTTTAGAACAACTTGTATACTAACAAATGTTATTCTCTTTTTCGTTTGCTGAGCATATATATATTAAAATGTTCCATTGCCATCATGGATGAGGTTGAGTTTATAATGTTACCAAGTTATTCATTTGATAATGTGAGTTAATATTACCATGTGCATATAACTTTAGGTATCTTTTTCTTATTGGAAATTTTACTTTTCATGCTCATATCCTTAAAATTTTTATCTTGATCATTTTTTCATTCTTTCATGGTCTCCAGAGTTAAATCATGCTGTTATGGGTGTCCTGTTGCCAAAGACTACCAGTACCATACGTGTTGCCAAAGAGAGTGTAATAAATTCTATTAATAAATATGGCCACAAACCCTAAGTGACTGTGGGATGTATCATTAAGAGGGTTTTCAGTAGAACTTTTATAGGATTTGTGTTTGTTTCCAGTGCTTTGGTTGCTATTCAAGGAAGTGAGTTATTTATGTGTATTGAATGCTGTTAGGATGTGAACTTAATTCTCCCTTATTCATCCTAATATGATAGTTATTCGGGAAGAGGCAGAAAAAGTGGAGGTTGTGGGTAAACCTAAATGATGACAATTTCTGGTCCAGTCACATTATTGCTCAGATAATATGCTGTTGATGCTAATTTGTCAACAGTCCTCCTATTACCAGCACTGTATAATAAAATGGAACATGCAGAAGTTAGTTTTATATATTATACACTGGCATTGAGCAATCACTTCCTCGAAGGTGCCAACCAAGCTCCTCTTCAGAAAAGCCTGTTTGAAATTCCCTACACTCAAAACCCAGGTACCACAGGACAGAGCAGCAATCAGTGACCAAACCCTCACTGTTTGTAGAGATGACATGTCCAGACTCAGATGATGTATCCACGAGTAAAGACGCCATCGTTGGCTGTCAGATCTTCTAGAGCATCACCTGGATGAAGGGGGAGATGGCAATACAGAGGTAGGTGCTCCTGAATCCAGCCACAGCAACGTCCTTCTCCCTTGAAGGCCAAATGCACAGGGATAGTTTTGGCTACAGAGGAGAAACGCTGTCATCAACTTGACTCCAAATGTGATTTCCCAAAGTGAGCAGACATTGTTGGGATGGCCAGGGAAGGTAAGGGATACTGGAAGCACAGGATGAGGGAGATGAACAGGACATGGCTGAAAACTTGGACATTGTTATCCTTGACTAAGGAAGTTTACAGAGAGCCCAAGGAGCACCATCAAGAGGATGGATACAGGAGTCCGTATCCAAAGTGTGCATGATCCAGCAAGGCCACCACTTCTGGAAAGCAGTGATGTTGCATCCTGTTTGAGTCCTGATGCTTTTCTGCATCTGAGTAGAAAAGGAAAGCTGCAATTTGTGAGTTTCAGCACTTTAGAAGTAAAAGTTACTTTGGTAATCTAGGCGATGTGTTTTGGATGTTTGGCCCCTCCAAGTCTCATGTTGAAATTGGATCCACATTATTGCAAAAGTGATGGAGACTTGGCAGCTTCCACCGAGATTTCAGAAGATACATGGAAAAGCCGGTGGACCCAGGCAGAAGCCTGCTGCAGGAGTGGACCCCCTGCAGAGAGCCTCTGCCAGGGCAGTGCGGAATTGGGAGTGGGAAATGTAACATTAGAAGCCCCATGTGGAGTCCCCACTGGGGTACTGCTGAGTGGAACTGTGGGAGGGGGGCCACCACCCTCCAGACCCCAGAATAGTAGAACCACTGGCCTCGTGCATTCTCAGCGTGGAAAAGTCACAGATTCGAGAACTCCAACCTGAGAGACCAGCTGTGTGGACAGTGCCCAGCAAATCCACAGGGACAGTGCTGCCCCAGGCTTCAGGGCCCTCCCCTTGTACCACCTTGCCTGGGATGCAGAACATGGAGTCAGAGGAGATCGTTTTTGATCCTTTAAGATTTAATGTCTTCCCTGCTGGGTTTCAAACTTCCAGGGGGCCTTTTGCCAGGTCTTTTGGCCAATTTCTCCCTTCGGAAATGGGAATGTGTACCCGATGCCTGTACCACCATTATATCTTAAAAGTCAGTAATTTGTTTTTGACCCTTTATAGGCTCATAGGTGGCAGAAACTTGCCTTGAGTGTCAAATGAGACTTTAGATTTTGGACTACTTACTTTGTTGTGGCTTTATCCACATTTATTTTCATTCCTAGTGTTTCCCACCAGTCAATTGATTTAAACTATATGTTGTGCTCTCTACATCTTCAAAATAAAAGTTTAGAAGGTCTTCTTGTGTTTCAAGTGGCCACATTGGAAAAATAACGTGGTTTTGTATGTGTTTTATTGGTAAACTTGTCTAATACAGTCATTTTTCTTCATTTTGTGTAAAGAATGTGCTAACAGCTGTACTCGGTGGTAATCCTAGCACTGTGGGAGGCTGAGGTGGAGGATTGCTTGAGCTCAGGAGTTTGAGACCAGCCTGAGCAAGAGCGAGACCCCCATCTGTACAAAAAATAGAAAAATTAGCCAGGTGTGGTGGCATGCACTTGTCCCAGCTACTCGGGAAGCTGAAGCAGGAGGACTGCTAAAGCCCAGGACTTTGAGGTTGCAGTGAGCTGTGATCATGCCAGTGCATTCCAGCCTGGATAACAGAGAGACCCTGGCTCAAAAAATAAATAAAATTATTTTGTTTCCATTTGTGTGACCACAGGACTATGCTGTTTGCAGCTGCCCATGAATCTGTAAATATATATATTTTCTTTTGATTTTCTCACTGTGTGACTGCTAGAACAATTTCAGTCAGTTCTGTGTGTTGTGTAGAGAGTGATTTACCTGATTCCTTCAGGGTCATTTTGTCCTGGGGCCTGAGTGCTGCTGCTGTCTATTGGGTCTGGCCTTGGGTCATAGAGGCTGTTCCATCTCGAAAGTAGGTGTTAGGCAAGACATTAGACCAGTGAAGGCCCCATTTTCCTATGTTGGTATGGATTGTCCCTGTCCTTGGAATAAATTCCAGCAAGTCTATTACAGTCTTGTGAATCTCCTTAGCAAGGAGACCTGGTTGACCCTTAAAAGCTGGAGTCTTTTTTTTTTTCTTTTCTTTTTTTTTTTTTTTGAGACAGAGTCTCACTCTGTTGCCCAGGCTAGAGTGCCATGGCATCAGCCTAGCTCACAGCAACCTCAAACTCCTGGGCTCAAGTGATCCTACTGCCTCAGCCTCCCGAGTAGCTGGGACTACAGGCATGTGCCACCATGCTCAGCTAATTTTTTCTATATATTTTTAGCCGTCCAATTAATTTCTTTCTATTTTTGGTAGAGATGGGGTCTCACTCTTGCTCAGGCTGGTCTCGAACTCCGGAGCTCAAGCGATCCATCCGCCTTGGCCTCCCAGAGTGCTAGGATTACAGGCATGAGCCACTGCGCCCGGCCTGAAAGCTGGAGTCTTGACCTTGTGTGTACCATTTCCGTGTGAGTAGCTTTGGATCAATTTGGATACCTGTCAGTTGTTCAGGACTCGATTTTATCCAGTGAAGGACAGGCATATGGCATTTAATTATAATGTTATGTTGCCAGTCAGAGGCTCAGTGTGTTTGAGGGCTTCATATGTAAGCCATATGTTTTTCAAGTGGGCTGTATTTGTTACTAGAGTATGGAAATTTTGTTGTTCCCACAGGGGAGGGGAACCTGTGGCTTTGGGGCCACATGTGGCCTTTTGACTGAATCCAAATTTTATAGAATAAATCCTTTTAATAAAGGGCTTTGTTGTGCAAAGTTCGGGTTCAGCGCAGGGGCTATACTTGGAGATCTGGAGAGCCACATGTGGCCTTGAGGCCACAGGTTCCCCACCCTAATGACCAAATTCCATATTCATCACTCATCAGAATTTCCAGCCTAGGTTGTAAATCTGGAGATGGGTAATGTGAAGTTTGGAATGTGGCAATGTAGTCTTTGCAT